GGCGCACGCGGCGCGGCCGGCGCCGCGGCCGGCGCCGCGGGCGAGGGGGAGGCGCCGGCGGAAACCCCAGAGCCGGTCCCCGCGGAGTCGTTTATGGAGCTGTTGCTGCCGCTCGCGGCTTTCGCAGCAGACACCGTCGCCAACGCGCGGCTCGTCGTGCTCTGGGGCCTCTCCCCGCCGTCGCCGCGGCTGTGGCCGTCGTACGCGCTGCTGGCGCTGCTGCTGCTGCCGCACGCGTGCGTCGCGCTCGTGGAGCTCCTGCGCGTGCTGCTTGCCGCCGCCGCGCTGCCCGCGGCGCTGCGCGCATCGGCGCCGGCGGCGCCGGCCGAGCAGCAGCTCGCGGCCGCGTGCGGGTGGGTGATGGCGGCGCCGTGGTGGGCGGCGGTGCCCGCGCTGCTGCTGCTGACAGGCCCATGCCTGGTGGTCCTCAGGTGCGCGTGCGGTCGCACGGCTGGTCGGGCCGAACGACGGGCTGCCTGCCTGCCTGCCTGGCTTCTGATTGCTCTGCATTCACGCAGCCCACGTGCAGCATTGCTTGGCCGGTTGCCGGGCATGTGCAGCCATCCGGGCTGCAGCCATGGGCAAAACGCTCTGAACGATGGCGGATGCGGCGCATCACGCTCCCGTGCTTTCGCATGTTCCATGTGCAGCTGCTGTACCCACTTCCGCGTCTCACCCCGCCCACGCACTGCGCCCCCGCCCCGGCAGTGTGGCGCTGCCGCTGACGCTGCCTCTGCACCTTCTGGGTCTGACCGGCCACGGCGCGGCGCAGCGATACGTGGAGCTGCTGCAGGTACGGCGGGTGCAGGGCACTGCTCGCGCGGCCTAAGAATGTACACGGGCCCAGCAGCTCCGCACAACACACATGCGCTTATTCATATCTTTTGAAGCCATCAAGGATGCCGTTTCAAAAATCGCATCATGCTGAACCGCCCCGCACTCCGCAACGCACGTGCCGCAGCCGCCGGACCTCGCTGCCCACTCGATCGCGCCAGCCCACAGCCTGTGGGCGCGTCCTCGCCCTTCGCCTCACCCCGCGTTCTCACAGGCCTGCTCGGCGGCGACCCTGGCGCCCTGCTCGGCCGTCATCCTGACCGGCCTGCTGCTGGCCGGCAACAGCCCAGACACGCCGCTGCTGACGCCGACCCTGTACTGGGTGGTGCTGCTGGCCGCCATGTGTGACATGGCCGCGGCCCTGCACCTGGCGCTGCGGCGCGCCAGGGAGGAACGGCTGCGCGACGAGCGGCGGCGGCACCGCCTGGCCGCGGCGGCGGCCGGGGCGGCGGCGACAGAGCCGTGATCGCTTCGGGGCGGTGTTGAGAGACGCGGCTGGTGCTTTGCGCACGCGCTTGGGCAGGCTGCTTTGTGCGCGCGCGCGGCCACATGCCGCCGGCGTGCGTCGTTTGTTTTGTGTGTACCATAAATTGATCCAACGCCCCCTTTCATCCCTGCTATCAGGACCTGTTTTCGGAACACTCCTTCGGAACAGCAGCAGTGTGCAGCTGACACGTGTTTGCGCGCCGCAGGGGTGTATATCTTCAGCCTTGCAGCCCCAGCCTGGCGTCAGGCAGCAACCAGAAGGTCGTGGGGACGTTATCAGCGGTATCCGTAATGCAAGCAAGGGCAAGCGGCGCTGTCCTGTGTAGTTGTGCACGCGGTGCTGATTGCGCTGTTCAAGGGTCAAACGCTCGATCAAGGCTGCAGTGATGCTGATGCGGCCCCTGGGAGTCCGCCGCGCAGCATTCTGCCGGCGCCCAAGGGATGTGGTCTGTCTGTCATTTGTCTGGCGTGCGCGGCCTGGTGGCGCTATGCGTCAGTAGTTGTGTCGCGCACCCTCTGCGCAAGGCGATTCCGCGCTCGCTCGTCACTCCCTAGCGGCGCCGCGGGCCAAACGCTCGCGGCCTAGCAGGCCGCCTTCGCGGCGCCCTTGCTGCCGCCACCGCCGCTGCCGCCTGGCGGCGAAGCCGCCTTGCGCTTGGCGCCGCCGCCCGGCGCGGAACCGCCGTCGCCGCCACCGCCCGCTGCCGGGCGTGCCGTGGACGGGATTGCCGGGCCGAGCGAGTTGGTGCGGCGGTAGCGGGTGCCTGCGACAAGGCCGAGGCCGGCAGGATGGCAGGATTGCAGGATTACTGGCGGAGGCGCACAGGGATGCGATCTTGTTAAATAACCGTAAGGCCTCCCACGTGGAGACAGCAGGAGGGTGCCGCGCAGCGCACGCCCCTGCTGCAGGCTGCGGAGCAGGCTGCTGAAGGCGCCCGCGCCCGGCGCTCACCGCAGGCGTTGCAGACGACGGGCTTGCTCTGCGGCCCCTTGCGCCACTGCGGCGACTCCTGCACGCCGCAGTGCATGCAGGGGCCGACCCTCCGCTCCGCCACAGGCCTCTGCTGCCGCGC